AGGAGTCTTAAAACTTGATTCAAATAAAGGGAGAGTCCACCAGGCATATCCTTGCTGGAGGATCTTAGATATTCATCTATCTTTTCCCCCACTGCTATAGGATCATCTAAATAAAGGAGCAGTTCTTTCTTTGATCCTCTTGTATCTTGGGTGGTCAGGGGCACAACCAGAAATCCAAATGCCCCCTCTCCCGGCCCCATCCTTACCCCCCAGCGGAACCTGTTGTAAAGGTATTTGCCAAATTTTTGTCTGAACTTTAGGGGCTTTTGGCACCTCATACTGGGTTCCTTTTCTTGTTTCTGAAGGTTCCTCCTCCTCTTTGTTGCTGCTAGAAGCAGGAGGTGCAGAGGGGGCAGGAGCTGTGGCTCCTGATGAGTTTTGATGATAAAAGGAGGGAAGGTATTGGAGGACATCCCACACCTCCCTATCTGTTTTCTTTCCCCCTTCTTCAGATTCCTGTTCCCTTTTTCCTCCTCTCCATTTTGCAGCATAGATCCCTCTAGACGTTGCCTTTAACCATACTGACGCACATTCTTTCTCTACAAGATCCTTCTCAGTATCACTGAGATACAGGCACAAAACCTGACAAAGACTAGGATCGTCATCTGACCCTACAGGGGGACCTGAGTCCCCGCTGGTAACTTATATTCTGGCCAAACAAAACAATATTTTATAATTATTTCCTTGGTTATTTGTGAGGGAATGCACAGGTTATCCCAAACCCTCAAAAGTCTCCCCAAGGGACTACATGGGGATAAACCGGGGTTGTCATCCCTTTTTCCAGTATCCGCTTTTGGCTTCCCTTTGCTGCCCTCCATTGGCATCCATGTCGGCATCATCACCCCTTTTGCTCCCATAGTACTCACCAGTGAGATTCCAGTGGTCCTTTCTGTCGGACCTAGTTCTTTCCATTGGACTTAGTGGTACCTGGTGGTCCTTTCCATCGGACCTAGTAGTCCTTTCTGGCAGACTACTTGAGAACACCCCTGGTCCTACCTGCGGATCCTCCTGATCCACTGCTCGTCTGTCTCTGGACAGTCTCGGGAACCCAATTAGTCATCTGGTGCCGGCTGCCGTCAAAGGGAGTGAATCACCAAAAGCTTTGGTGAGGAGCACCATCAACTCCAATCACCATCTGCCGTTCCCAGAAGATAGAAGGATTCTGAACGAGCCTCCAATTGTGCAGAAAAACTTGCTGTTAAGAACTGAATGCCCAAAAAGGAAACAGAAGAGTCCTAAAACTTTATTCGAATAAAGGGAGAGTCCACCGGGCATATCACTGTGGGGTCTCTCAAACTGCTGGAGGACACAGCCCCCTTTTCCTGACCTAATTTCCCGACCAAGGTGTCCATCTCCTTTTCCCCATTGGTCAAGGTACTCATGAGTTACAGTCTTCCCGGCAGCCTACACCCAGTTTGCTGCCTCCTTCCATCTGTTCTCACCTAAGGTCACCTGACTCCTTTGTCCCCCTCACTCTTGGCTCCGCTCAGTCTCCCCCTGTATATATTCCTTTATAGAATAATAGAATGCTTAAGGTTGGAAAGGAACTCCAGAGGTCACCTAGTGCAATGCCCCTGCACATGCAGGGTCACCCAGAGCACGGGGCACAGGGCTGCATCCAAGCGGGTTTTAAACAGCTCATGAGAAGGAGACTCCACAACCTCTCTGGGCAGCCTATTCCAGGGCTCTGTCACCCTCACAGTCAAGAAGTATTTCCTTAAGTTCCTATAGAACTTTTGGTGCCTCAGCTTGTGGCCGTTTCCTCTAGTCCTATCGCTGGCCACCACTGAAAAGAGGCCGCCCCCTCCTCCTCACTGCCTCCCTTGAGGTATTTATAGACACTGATCAGGTCCCCCCTCAGCCTCCTCTTCTCCAGGCTGAACAGGCCCAGCTCTCTCAGCCTTTGCTCATAGGGCAGATGTTCCAGGCCCCTGATCATCCTGGTAGCCCTGCGCTGGACTCTCTCCAGCAGCTCCACATCCCTCTTGTCCTGGGGAGCCCAGAACTGGACACAGTCTCCAGATGTGGCCTCACCAGGGCTGCATATAGGGGGACGATCACCTCCCTCGACCTGCTGGAGATGCTCTTCTTAATGCACCCCAGGATCCGGTTGGCCTCTTGGCCACCAGGGCACACTGCTGCCTCATGGTCAACTTGTCGTCCACCATGACACCCAGGTCCCTCTCTGTGGGGCTGCTCTCCAGCAGGTCCACCCCTAATCTGTACTGGTGTCCAGGGTTATTCCTCCCCAAGTGCAGGACCCTGCACTTGCCCCTGTTGAACCTCATGAGGTTTCTCACTGCCCAGTTTTCCAGTCTGTCCAGGTCCCTCTGGATGGCAGCACAGCCCTCAGGGCTATCAGCTACTCCATCCAGTTTGGTATCATCACCAAACTTGCTGAGGGAGCACTCCAGCCCTTCATCCAGGTCATCAATGAATAAGTTGAACAAGACTGGATCGAGCACCGACCCCTGGGGGACACCGCTAACCACAGGCCTCCAACCAAACTGCACCATTGATCATCACCCTCTGAGCTCTGCCATCACACCAATTCCTAATCCACCTCATCTTCATCCTGTTCATCAGCCAAAGAAGGGGGAGCAATTTCCTCCTTTGTAAAGCTACAAATTTGTATGTGTGTTCTGCTCAATCCCAAACTGGTGTGTGTGTTCTGCTCACTTCCAGCCTCAGCCATTCTGTGATTCTATGGCCTGCAGTGGACTGAGCCAGATTGTTTGCTCACTTAGATGACATGTTTTTTCAAAATAGTTTACTGCACTGCTGTTTGAACAATTCCTACTCAAGGTATTCCCTTTCAAAGAGTTTGCTGCAAAAACACTGCCTCTTCATGAGGTCTGCTGTGAGGTTGCTATCCTTCACCACATACTCCACTCTTAATTTTGGATGTGTCCCATTCCCTCCTTTTTCATCTCGTCTTCTTACTCAATAAAGGTAACTTACTGGTCAGGGCATCTCATAGCCACCTGTATGTCACTTATGAGGAGACTGCAGCAGTTATACCAGTCTGCATATAAGCAGCACAACTGGGAACGGGTGTGCTTTGGTGACTTCAGACAGCTTCAGTCTCCAGTTCATTGCTCCTCTCATAGTAGCTTTAGAAGCTTAATCATGCAGTTTTATGTTTGTTTTTGTATGAACATTTTATGAAAACTGAATTGGAGGTTATTAAACAAAAGAAAGCAAAGGAATACACAGTTTTGGATAATTGAAACTGACTTGAGACAGAAAAGACAACAGCTGATAAAATTTCACAGTATTCTCTGACAAAAAGGAAACCGTATCGTAGGGTGGCCTTCATTAAACCAGTCACCCAGCTTTATCATTCAGTCACTTTTAGATCACTTTTGTAGTCATGCAGAAGCAGCAACAGTAACTTTGAAATATATCTTAGCAGCCGCTTCAATTTATAGCTTTGAGGCTGACTCTGCTTTGAATAGTGGGTTGGACCAGGTGACCTTCCGAGGTGACAGAATCACAGAATCACAGAGTGGTTGAGGTTGGAAGGGACGCCTAGAGATCATCCAGTCCAACCTCCTGCTCCAGCAGGGACACCCAGAGCACGGGGCACACGGCAGCATCCAGGCGGGTTTGGAAGACCTCCAGAGAAGGGTGAGGGATGAGAAGCTGCCTCTTTTCCTGCGGGCTTTTCAAGCCTTTACCTACTATCCTTCATGTTGTCCAAAATGTGATCTAGGGGCAAAAGACGAAAGGGCACGTACACACACACCCCCCCAAAGGCTATTTTGTCTGTCAGCCCCAAACCCCAGCTTCTTGGTAGGACAGACGTAGGTTGCTACTCAGCGTAAGCAGGGGGAACCACGAGAGCTGCAGTAATCCCCTGCTGCAGCCGCTTCTCCTTCTGCGGCTGTGTGCAGGCAGGTATGGGAGCGCTCTGCAGGGAGCACCCAGCACCACGCGGTGCATCCCGGGTTGCTTTGATTGACCGCAGGGTTATTAGGTGTGTGCCATAAGCATGAGGTTATGGGCAGAAGGTAGTTGAGTGTTTCGGTCCTCCCAAATTAACCAAGTGCCCTCTGGAAACTCCTGCAATGTATCCATCAAATGCTGAGCTCTTGGGAAATTCCCTTCAGAAGGAAGCACGATGCACTGCCTTGGAAGGGCTGATGACTGCTACTGCACCCTTCTATCTTCCTGAAAACTTTTGTCTACCATAGCTTTGAGCATGGACATGCGTCATATCAAACCATGTGTAGGATTCTGCAATTTCATCTTTGAAATGCAGTTTAACGAAGGTGCCGCTAGTACCCAGCCACGCTTTCCCTGACGTGCAGGTGCAGCCTCCTTGCTTGCACACGCCCGTTCTCTCCCCAAACTTTCACAACGGCCAGTGCTCAGTCACAATTCCCTTCCACAGCAGCACCCAGAAGGGGTGGTGAGGGGCACCCCAGCTTTTCGGGGGCACTAGCGAGTGGCCTCTGTAAGGTTTTGGCAAGGGAGTCCAGGTGAGCTCGCTGGCCAGCGAAACCCCAAACGCTGCTGCGGGCTGCTCAGGACGGGCCAGGGCTCTCTCGGAGTCTCAGAGTGCAGCAGTCGCCGTGCGAGGCCAAGACAGCATCCGTTTGCAATGCACCCTGAGTCGCACGGTGCCCCGGCCTGCAAGGTGCAGCGGACGCAGGGCGTCCTGGTTCGTACAGCACCCTGACCCAAGGCGAGGCGCCCCTCTCCACACGGGGCCCGGCTCTGCGCGGGGCTCCACGCCGCAAGGCGCCGCACAGGACCCTGCTCTGCAGAGCGCCCCTCTCCGCACGGTGCCTCGCTCCGCACGGGGCCCCTCTCGCTCCCTCCGCACGGGGCCCCTCTCGCTCCGCACGTTGTCCCGCCGATGGCTGCGGGCGCGCACGGGACGCGGAAATCCCCCGGGGGCGGAGGCGGGGCAGGGAAGTGGGAACGGCCTAAGCGCGCCCGGCCGCTCACTGCGCGGCTCAGCTAGGCTCCGCTCGGGACAGCGCAGCAGGGCAGAGCCGCGCCGGGCAGAGCACGTCGCCTCCCGCTGCCGCCATGGAGCCGCGACGGTGAGTGCGGGCCCGGGGCGGGATCCGCGTGGCCCCCGCCGTGTCGCTGCGGGGATCGGGCGCTTCCCGGGGCTGCGGCGTCCGCGTAGGGATCCCCCGCGCTGGGGAAAAGAGAAACGGTTTCACTGCACGGGGACGCGCGAGCCGCGGGAAGAGCGGCGAGCAAAGAGCTGTCCCGGCCCGGGAGGCGGCGGGAGCCCGGCCCGGCTCCCAGCGCCCGGGGAGGCGGGAGCCTCTGCTTTAACTCCCTGCCCGTCGGCGCTTCCGCACGGCTCTTCCCGAGCAGCGAGAGCCGCTTTCCCCGCCGGCAGCGCCAAGGGGGAGCCCGCGTGCCCCAGAGCCCCGGCACGAGGGGCACGGGCCGGGCCAGGCGGCGGGCGCAGCGCAGCGCTGCTCCCCGCGCTCCTCATGCCGCCCGGGCGCCTTGCTGAGCAACCTGCTCGCCCCTGGGAGCGCGTGGTGGGAGAAGACCCCGCTTCTAGTTTCCCCAGGCTGGCGGTGCCTCAAGGGGAGCTTCAGAGAAGCTTTGCCGAGAACAGGTGTAGGGCAGCGCGCTCCTCGCCGCACATGCGAGAGCAGCTTTGCGGTTTCAGGTCAGGGAGTGAAGCAAATCGCTAGAGCTGAACCGAGGAGGCCTGAAGTTTCATTGCGAGCAACCAGGCGCCTTTTGTCTTTCTGCTTGGGATGGATCGACATCCCTCAACTCTAAAATAAATGTTGTATGACAGGGTTGAGATGCAAGGAAGAATATTCTCACTGAGCGAGTATACATGAAAGAGGAAGTGCAACTTTCTCCCTTTTTGCATGACATTTAAGAAAAATAGAAGGGGAAGGTGTGGGAAAGGATTGAAAAACAAGAAAGATAGAAACCTGTGTTTAGAAAGGGCAGGGAAAAAAAAATGAGAGGGATTGTGAAGAACTGAAAGAGAAGAATCATCAGGAACTAATCCAACTACCCCTGGAATTAATGGATCTCACTGCCAACGCAACAGCCTCGTGAACTGCGTGTGCATGTGGGGGCGAAAGGAAGATCTCTCAGCAGACATGACTTTCTCCATTTTTTTTCCCAAAAGAACTAAAGCACTAAATTTTTGCTGGGTGCGGGTAACATTGCAGGCAACACAGCCCTCACACCTCCGTGGTTGTAACCTCCTCCAAGTAGGAGGCTGAGCATCAGCAGACCTGCCCAACCTTGACAGTTCCAACAAATCAGGATCTTCTTTGTAAATATAGATGAATGAGTTGGTTCTGCCTTAGCAGGCTGGCATGACGCGCGCTGGGAAGCCACGGCAGAAGCGTTGCCTCCACCAGCCCCCGTGTTCCCATGGAAGGGGGGCCACCAACTGGCAGGTTCATTGCAACCTGCTAAAAGGTTGGTTGCAACCAGCAAATAACTCCTGTGGGAAATTCCCTCGAAAGTCCCACCAAGAACAGTCAATTGTTGTTCTCCATTTAAATCAAATGTCTTATTACATCCATAGTTTGTTTTGTGGGCAGGGGAACAAACAAACAAAAAACGTAACCGCAGGATTAGGAATAGTGTTAGGGTGAACTTTTCAAGAAAAACACCTGAGAGGCATGAAAGTGATGGCTCATGCGCAGTAAAGAAATACAAACAAGTGCACAATATAAAACCACACGCTCTGAAAGTTCACTGCCAGGAACATGAACAGAGCTACCTGCCTCTTGCGAATTTTCAGATGTGCCTACTTAGGAGATGGATTCTAGGGCTGCTCACAGATTTGCTAGACTGTATTAGAGCAGAATTTCAAAGGGCACAGAAGAGGAAAATCCAGTGTTTTCTTTGTCTAAGATTAATACAACTCTGACCAACTCTTTTTTGAACTTCCTTACTTGTCTCATGCTCTGGAGATGAGCATTCAAATGAGGGTGGCTTCTGTGTCAGGAATACATATACCCCTCTGCTTTACCCGGGGGAAGACAAATATGTTTGAGTAGATGACAAATATCTTGAGGGCAGATGGGAAGACCTTTCTCCACAGTAGCCGAGGGTCCAGAATGGGTCCAGAACTGATGCTACAAGGTCTGAGCAGGACAGATGCTGCACCAGGGAGATGCTGGAGGAAACCTGATGCCCAGCTGGGCAAAGGGCCAGGACATGCAAGGAATAGGCAGGGGGTCTTGAAGTGAGAGGGGGCAGTTGGTGTAAAGAGCAGCTCGTGGGGGAAAGTTATTTGAGAAACAGAGCACTGGGAGGGAGAGCTTAGGCTAGAGTCCAGGGAGCCAGGCTGGGCAGCAGACCCCACACTCTTTCCAGCGTTGATGTGGGACATTTATCTTTCCCTAAATGTTATGAGAAGAGAGTTAAATCACCAAGGCTTTAGGAAAACCGAGCTTTCCTACAGCATCCAGCATGTGAAATTTGCTTGGGAAACTCCAGGTTTGCCCCTCTGGAGTAATCAGGCATGTTGAAGACTTTCCAATAAAAGCTTTGCACAACTCCGTGCTATCAAGCATTTCCTGTTTACGCATGTTACTGACTGAACAAAACGGTAGGCAGGGTAGTTATCTGCTTTAAGGAAGCAAAATTGCAATTCACTTAGTATCTAGTCCTGTGGCACGCAGGGCTTTCACCTGGATGTAGGTCTGTGCAGCCCCTCTCCTGCACTGTGACTCCAGTGTTGCTGAAGACCCATCGCTCCAGTAGATCTCCTGAATACTCCAGTAAATATTACTCCAGAAAATACCCTTAAAAGATAGGGTTCATTTTAACCGGAAGGAAAGGCACGGCACCAGCTTCATGGCTTCTGCCCTCATTCCAATATTAGTGCGTTTTTACTTCTATTCCTGGCTGCGGCCAGGCCACAGAGCAATGTCGTTTGAACAGAAGTCTTGCAGCTGTCAAAAATGCAAATACGCACTGCAAATTTACATAGTAGAGATCACTGTAGATACCAAATTTATCTATTTCTGCTGCTACAGTGAAACACTCAATATGATATTTATTGCTTGTGTAAACAATGGAGAACTTAAAAGGCCATTATGTAACGCTTTTGTTTGTCTGTTTTACATTTTAGCTGTGGATTTCTGTTACTGTTTCTTCATAGTCTGAGAGCTGGTAAGTAAATGACACTTCAAATAGAGTCAGGCTGCCCTTCCTGAATGTGCTTGCTCAAATTATGTAGAGTATCTATAATATGTACAATATAAACAGCTAGATGTTTTCAGCAAGACCCTTAAGGATTCCTCAGTGTGAAAAACTGTGACATGCATCATGGGGGAAAAAAAGCAAAAATCACAATCTATCTGTATGTAAGTACCGAGACTAACACGGGGATCTTGCGGATGGTCTTGTTTGGACTGCTCTTACCACTTCACAGACATGCATATTCATCTTCTGCTACCAACCAAGGACCTTGGAAGTGAAATAGTAAGGGCTGGAGATAAGGGCTGAGGTGCACAGATGAAGTTAACGTTCTTCTTATGGATAGCACTGTTTGTCACTGTGTATCAAGCAGGTCTTCTACTGTAGTTCTGAATGCCTTTTCAAAAGAAATACATTACTCAGTGATATTTAAACATTTCAATATTGAGAGATACCTATTATCCATTTTTACATAATTACTGGTGGCTGAGAAGGACCTTAACAGAGTCATCAAGCAAACCCCCTCAGGCCATAAATCAGGACAAACCACGTCTGACTCAGTCTTAGTAAATGTTGACTAGTCTATTCTTAACCATCCCTAGTGATGAAAGTGCCTTCCCTTTCCCAAGCAGTGTTTTCCAGGGCTTCATTTTACCTGCTGCTGTGAGGGTAACTCTGACATGCGCATGAGCCCTTTCTGAGTCCAATACATTGGCACTGGCCCCCTTCAGCTACAACACTGTCATCTCCCACCAAAACATTCTCTGCATTTCCAACTCTACATGGCTGTTGTCTTTTCACTCCGTAAGCTCACGTAGTGACAGTGACGGAGCAGTCAGGGCTGCCCCAGAGAGCCCATGCGCACACCCTGCCCGTCTCGCCAGACCGCTCTCCTCTTCCACTCGCTCCTCCAAGAGGAGACGCAGCCTCACGCAGACCAGGAAGCCACGAGAAGTGTCCTCCAAGCCAGATACTGTGCCTGCCTGACGGATATAGCTAAGGGATGTGTCACCGGCTGTGACGCCTCAGCACGCTAGCGTGTTTTGGAGAGGGTCACACCCAGGGTAGCAGTAAATATCACTGCGATGACATGTCCACTCAGAGGAACATGGCTTCATCTAATTATTTTTAATTGCCTATAATCTTATTATATCTTTACTACTAATTGTTTTGATCTCAACCATTAAATGGTACTGCTATGTGTCTTACCAACATTGACAATTCTTGTGATTGCCCTTGGGATATTTGTCATTTTTCTTAATGTGTTAATGATCACTTTTTTTTTTTTTTTTTTTTTTTGGCTGGGACTTGTTAATAATCATCTGCAATTAGTCATAGTCAGCTTAATTTATGGCAAAATGAAACACATACATGTGTCCATGGAGCTAAGTGGAAACAGTTAGCCAGAAAGAGTGGTTAGTGCTCAAAGAAAGATATAATCAGGAGAATTTATATTGTAAAGGTCCTTTTGGAAAGCACACACATACACAGAGTTAGCTGCAGGTGAAGAAGATAATACTAATTCTGGATTTCACCTGTAGTGGAATATACTTGGGAAAAAAAAATCCCCGCATAATCTCCCTTTGTCCTTTTTCTCTTTTTATCTCTGTAGTTACCACGCTGGAGAAGATGATTGTCAGTAAACTTGGAGACAATACTAAACTGAGTTGCATTTATCCTCAAGGAGGAAAATTACACTTAGAAAATCTGCGAGTGTACTGGCAAGTAGATGATCCCCAAGAGAAGTGTTCTGTGGTATATGCACTGATCTCGGGCCAAGACAATGAGAGTGAGCAGTGCATCCACTTTAAAAACAGGACTCAGTTACTGTGGGATAGACTGGAAAACGGCGACTTTTCTCTGCTGCTGTTGAATGTCAGCCAGAGCGATGCCCGCAAGTACAAATGCATAGTACTGCAGAACACTGAGTATACCAAACGGGTTCACCACGAAGAAGTGGTTCTCAGTTTAGCAGGTGAGAACTTCGATTACTTGCACATATTTGCCCAAATCCTGATGCAAAGTTTTCACATCGCTGCCATTTCAGTATTGCATTTAAGCGTGTCCTTAAATCTGAAGTACACTTCAGTGCTTCTGCTGAACAGGAATCTATTTGATATAAATGTAACAGATATAAAAGCAGATATAGCCTAACAATTGTTATTTTTATATATTTTTTTAAGTTTGCATGACTTTAAGGGATCTTGCATGTTATTGGCGTGTAGAGCTTACCAGGTTTCTTTCTTCCTTTGGGCTTGGCTTCAGCTTTCTACCCCTCCAGATAATTCACTGATATAACTGGCTTATATTTATAAAACCAGCATTTTTAAATTATGGTAGTCTTGTGAAACTTAGAAGTTCTGCTTGACAAAAATTTGTCTTTTCAACACATTTAGAAATATTGACAACTCTTTCCTTTTTCCTTTCTCCCCAGCTAGTTATAGCCAGCCAATACTCAGTGGGCCAATAAGAAACACCAATAGCAGTGAGGAAGAGGTGACTTTCAGCTGCAAATCCAGCAATGGATACCCCAAACCAAATGTTTATTGGATAAACAAAACGGACAATCAACACCTGAATTCATCAGAATTAAAGATCACCCTCCAAACAGATGGAACTTACAGTGTTTTCAGCACACTGAAGATCAAAGCAACTTCTAATATGCAGATAGAGTGCTCCATAAAAAATGAAATATTACAGGAAAACCTCTCAGCCAACTGTAAGTTGCTCACAATATTTCATGTTTTCTAGATAACAGGCATATCAAGCAGGGTGCATCCGTCTGTGGACATGCACTCCTAATCAAGGATACACATTAGTTCAGCAATTCAGAAAACCACTGAGGAGAGTTCTTTTAGCCATGGAATTTATGTTTACTTCCAACATGTTCCAAATTCAACTGAACATCCCATCAAGCGTAACCCGTACAACAACACTGACAAGCCCTTGCTTCTGAGACAGCAATTTTGGAAATAACTGGTCTTAACTGTTCTGCCCCTCTGGGACATGACAGCATGGAGAGTGGGATTATTTTTTGAGTGACACACAGTGATCCATGATTCCTGAATCCCCGCATCTGGTTGCTTTGCAGCAGTCACATTTTCTTTTTTCTCTGTTTAGTTTATGAACTTCTGTTTTCAGTCCTCAAACTCAGTTCAGCACAGTGCACTGCATAAAGTAGATGTGTAGCAAACAGCTGGTGTTAGCCCGACAGAATAAACAATAAAATGAGGTCACAAGAACAATATGCTATCTACTGCTGATTTTAATGATCAGTAATAAAAAGAAATATTTGCCCACTCAGTTCTTCCCAGGAACAGAAAGCTAGAAAGCTCGTAACTATGAAAAAAGGAGTTATAGCTGTAGTACTGATAGTGCAGTTTGTGGTTTCTGAACAGCTGTGTAGAGAAGCGATCTGGAGTAGGAAAGTTTATCTTGAGTTGGCTGTTAGTCTCACCGCAGTTCTTGGTCCCGCTTCCCACTGTACCTTTCTCTCTCAGGCTCCTGCATCTAGTTGTGCCGGGTTCGGGTTAAATATTAGGTGAAATTTCGACACAGAAAGAGTGGGGAAGCACTGGAGCAGGCTGCCTGGGAAGTGGTGGGGTCACCATCCCTGGCAGTGTTCAAGAACCACATAGAGGAGGTGCTTAGGGACGTGGTTTAGCAGGCCTGGTGGGGATGATAGGTTGACGGCTGAACGTGATGACCTTGAAGGTCTTTTCCAACCATGACAATGCTATGATTCTACTGCAAGGAAGTTTGGCTGCTTGCAGAGCTGTATCTAAATTCCCATAGTTAGTTTACCTGGACATGCCAGACTGCAAAAGCAGCAGCTCAGCAAGGGCTTTGGCGGGCAGGGTGAGGGCAAGAGCTGCAGGACAGACCTAGGCACCCCAAATCAGCTCTTCCTCTCCGTGAATGAGAGGCAGCAGAGAGCCATGGCAGGATATGAAGAAATCTTTCTTCACTCAATGCCTTTAGTAGCACAAATCACACAATCTTGAGTTAAGGAGACTAATCACATTAACTGGGATCAGTTAGGGGGGGATACTGATTAAACTACTTCAAAGAAGAAGAACTGCATGCAGGAATTGCAGAGTGTTTATAAGGCAATGTACCCTTGCCCTAAGCCCACAGAAGATAGTGAGAATTCATTACTAACTTCAGAGGAACAGGTTTTCACTCGTTTTTCTGAATGCTGTCACATTTACATTGTAGCTTTTACATTGATTTATTTTCAGTCAAGTCCAGGAGAAAGCTGAGTATCAGCCTATCAGGGCTGGGGCGAAGTAAGAATAAAAAGATAGGAGGAATGTATGTGGTATAATAACGCAGCAGGAATTAACTAGTTTTGTATTCCTGTACTTGCAGACCATGTCAGCTAGAGAAACGCCTTGTACAAAAGGAGTAGATGTAGAATTACTATGATGCAAATGGCACAGGTATTAAGTCCTTCAGGAGTTTTGTGCAAACTGTAGACAGATGACTGTCTGGAAGGAAATATAATAATTTATACCTTATTACACCCTATTTCTGGTTTTTTTTCTAGACATGGAGAAAGAGATGAGCAACAGTTCTAACCAAGAAAGTCAAAAAGACCTGGGACAAAACAGACGAGGTGCTCAAGCCATCAGCATCGTTTCTGTTGTCATTCTGATAGCTCTTCTAGTTGCTTTAGCCTGCTGGCTGAAGAAACGGAGGTCCTCTCAGCTAAAGTCATACAAAGGTAACGAGGTTCTTGATTTGCCTGAGCAAGTCTGAAGCATTCTTACTCATTTCCCAAAATATTTAATGTCATCTAACACATCACTAGAGGTGCAAACACTAGTGTCCTTACACGTGACAGTGAGTAATTGTGAAATCCACTATTGAATACTTGGGATGCCCTGGGGAGGGCATATACTTTCCCTGAACATGTATTTTTTTATGGTTTTCTGCTAATGCGCCTGAGCCTCCCAGGGATTAATTGCTCGATGTAACTAACTCACCCTTCATGCCTATTCAGGCTGTAGCTTCTCAGCTGCAATTCCTGCAGGACAGTCTTGGAAAGGTGGAGGGGATATTCTTCCATGGAGAAGAACTGGGTCAGTAATTCACTGTCTTAGGACAATCCAAAGCAAAGATCAGGTGACAAATCAGTCCTGAGAACCCTATAGCCACTGAACGAACAACGAAGGGCTCGAGATCCTATTACAAATTCCCTAAGCAAGCAGCTTTCTACAGGTTAGAAACAAAGCACCTCTCAGTGTCACTCCTCATTATGTAGACTTGTATTGCCACATTTGCCTGTGTGGGGGACTCTGAATGCTTGACGAGATAGAATAAAAAGTAGCCCAAGAGACGTGCTATAAACCAGACTGAGTCAGGGCTGCAGTGTATTTAGTGCTGCTAGTTTTTAGTGCAAGCTAATTCACACATATATAAGATAGATGTTAATCTAAGCCAAGGGAGCAGGGACAACAGCAACTTTTATGGGCAAGGACAAGCCACATGTTCAATCCCTGTCCTGCATTCTCCTGGCTAACACCTCCAGACACTCCAGGAAAGCTGTATCTATACACACCTAAAACTCTTTTTTTTTCCAACAGATGTCCAAACAAATGAAGACGAAGGAGAGCTAAACTGTACGTATTAAAAATATGCTTTCATGCTTGTCTCAGAAATTACTTAACTTTACAGATTTGTTGCTTGCGTTCAGCACAAAACCTGTGGATTACCAGGCCAGACTGGTTATATTATAATCCAAACAAAGCCATATTTAGTAGATTTGTTTTAAATGCTGATTTTCAAGTCTGGACAACTGTGATCATTTCATGTCACTACACATCTTCAAATGGTTTTTCTCTGCCCTGTTGGTACCACGTCCTAGAAGGTCTTCAACTGGGAGAGATGAACATCATTTGCTTCATATCCATGAACCCGAGCCTAGTGAAAAAAAAAGAAATGCAATTTAGACCTTAGTCATGTTTGTGTTTTTATAAGCAAGGCCAGCAGCTAGCTTAGCAATTCATTTCTCCATTCATATTGGGAGAAAAAAAGAGAAAAACAAACCCAAGAAATTTTGCAAAAACAAACTCAGCACAGAGGACTTACTTGTAAGAGCACAGAGAGGATGAAATGTCTCATTTGGTAGTTTCTGCAGAGGGACATGAGTGTTTCATGGGGGTCTCTGAGGAACAGGCAGAAAATACTGTGGCTCCACCAAAAGTGTAACAGTGAGAGCGACAGAAAGCAGAGTCTGCCCATAAGCTGAATGACCCTTAGATTAAAAAGTGCTTAGAATTTCTTTTATGGTCATGTAATCTGGGTGAACTGTCAGTGGTTTTCCAGACTCATCACACCATTCCAGTCTCATGTACAGCTGTTTGTTTGCTTAACATCAACAGGCTGTTTCCTGCATAGCATAACATAGTAAGAAGAATGGAGTTTCTCTGTCAGATGAGGAGACATCCTCTCCTTCCGTTTCCATGATACACATTAACATAAATCTGGCCATTTCTTTAAGGTCATTTTCTTCCTCTCCTAACTTAGGCCAAGCTGTCTTTAATTAGATCCCTGGACCTAGCTCCTAAGCAGAAAAGCCTCTGTGACTTAAGTAGAAGTAAATATTTATTTTATATTGAAGACTGCTGTAGCTTGATTTGTTTATTAAGAACAAAATAAAGACTCTGTCCCTCCAGACACTCCTTTCCTTGGCACATTTCTGTACCAGTTGTGAAAGAGTAGATGGGACACCAGTTTTGGAGGGTTTATTGCTATCAGAAGCACATGAAGATTGTTTTCTGCCAAACAACCTGTGTAAGGCAAGGGAGGCAATATAATCTTAATCCTTTGGGCATGTGAATTTAAGGGCAAAGCCAGAGAAATGAGAAAGATCTAGGGAATGTGATCTCTATGACAGGCTAATTGTGTGTATTTGTTTAGACTGAGGAAAGCAAAGTTGAGTAGGGACACAGTAACAACCCTCTTCAGAGCGTCTGCAAAGAGATGGGAAGAAGTCATTTATCATCCCATCCCAGTAGATACATCTCTTAGCATGATTTAAACAGGATTAAACTACAACAAGATCAAACTACAACAACAGAAATTTAAGTTAGATATTAGGAAAAAAAAAAAAAAGGCTTTCTAAGGGTACAGGTAGCTGAGCACGAAGGTGGAAAGTCTATCAAGGCTCCATCACTACAGGTTTGTTGCTGTTGCCTTGGTTTTTTTTTGGTTTTGTTTTAAGAAAAAAGTCTGTTAGAGACTAGGTGAAAAGAGCTGGTGCTGCTTTGGGGCAAAAATACGGACTCTTTTTTCTCCAAGCAATGATTTTGGAGAAGTTTGTCTCGTTTTAATTATTTACTGAGATTTTCAAGGGAGTTGTGTCCGGTAGACAGGGAGTAACACACTGCAGGGGTCACACTGGCAAGGACAGACAGCCATAGTAATCTGCTTTGCAATACTGATGTAAGTAGTTCCGCTCTTAGTAGTTCAGCTCCATGAATAGACTGTGTGATGGGCTGGAGTGACATCATGAATACCACAACAAAAAAAGGCGAGCCAACTGGGACTAGCTTTGCTGTTACAAAGAGAAGAGATCTAGAAACCCTGGGGAAGGCGAGCCAGAAAGAAGAGTAACTTCATCATGCTGAGGCCAAACTCTGCAGATGCCCATTGCAATCAGTGGAGCAGGATGCTCCTGTGAGGAAGAACTTGGAGCCAAGTTGTTGCTGATGTTCTGATTTGCTTTCTGGCAGAATCCCTCCACTGACTGTTGAGGAGCCTCAGGGAAAGCCCATTTCACCTCAGCCAAGACTAGGCTGTGTATATCTTTATTTAGGAGGAACTTCAACCAACCACGAGTGACAGTGACATCCCGGCACAGGGAGATGAATGCTGGCAGGAGAATGCATTTTGAATAAGGAGAAGCACTTGCAATTTATAGCACAAGAACCAAGGCAGGCTTCACCTAGGCAGAGAGCCATTGACGTGCTAGGCATTCAGGCAGGCTAGCAAGAGTTTCACACCCCGACTGATTTTCTCACAGCAGCATTAGCTTTTATCTAAAGTGGAAGTCCCTGTTTTGGTAAACCTTCAGTAGAGAATAAAATATTAGTATCAAGTGCATTTAAAGACAGCTGTCTAATATTAGTACATGTGTGGAACTCAGTTACAGAAACTCTTTACTTTGACAAGACTTGATCTATATATAAAACTTCTACATTTCTTGATAGATAACCTATCCTTTATATAGCTTTGCAGCACATTCTGATGATTATGTAGGAAAAGCACAACTCTAGGATCTGCTAAATTCTGTTTTCTAAAGAAAATTTGTTTTGTTGTTACAGCACCTGTCTAAATGGAGAGTCCACCAAGAACCTGGGCAGCTTGACTTGCGTCAAAAGAAGCATCACCCCTTGTCTCGGTGGCAGCATTACTTGTGATACAAGTGACAGCAGTTGCTGAAATATGTGCCAAGATAGATGGCAAAAAGCTTCTTCAAAAGAAGAGAGCAAAATCCGCTGGATTTTTGTGCCAAGCAGCAGTTGCATCACCTCCCCAGTTGTTAACCACTTCAGACCATCCTTTGTGATAGTCTAGTGGTGTTCTGAGCTCCTGCACTGGGGAAAATAGTAAGTTTCGGACTAAAATACTCTGTGCCAGACTGATGAAACTTGGTGAATACCCAAATCTATCCTCATCATCATCTGTGAGAACTTCTTATCAGCAGAAGCGACTGTTTCATGAGCATGGGAAGTTTCCCTCTGTTTCTCATTACTCTGACGGAGGCTATTGAACAGGAAGAATGGCAGCTAGGAAAAAATAAAGGCATAAAAGCAAAAGAAAGTCAGAAAAGAAAACTACAGGACTTTCTGTGAAGTCTTCTTGTGAACTCGTGTCCGCCTTTCTCTGTGTACATCTTTTTTGCTCTTCTCATCTGGTTTCACCAGCTGCATGTTACTGTGTACAGAAGTAGCTAGAAACTTTCACCTCAGTCCTACAAAAGCAGGAGTCGCTGTGAATAGGTTAAACACTGAATATCTTAGCACGAGGAAGCCGTCTTTAAGTGCATTTGATGTTAACATTTTATTCTTTGCCAAATGTTGTACCAAAATGGGGACTTCCACTTTTGATAAAAGCCGGTGCATACTGTGTGAAAGAACATTTTGTGGAAATCAGTTAGACTGTGGTAAAAGTAGCACTGTCTCTGCTATGTTAATGTCATAGTATCCGGACGTAGCCTTTAGGGAAGGAACGAAAGCTGTGGTTTGACTCCGCTCAGTTTGGCTGCACTCTATTTAATTATTGTTCTGTGACTTCCAATGAGGATTTTAACCTGATTTTTCCTCCCCTCTCCTGTCTCATCCTTCTACCGCCTCCCCAACAAAAAAAGAAAAAAAAAAAAGGTGAGTACAGACATACAGACTATATCACTGCATTGGCCATGAATATTCTTTATTTACCAGTAAGTGAAAGGGAGAGAGGGCCAAAACCTGCAGCTTCATGTACCAGAACACATCTATCTGACTCATCCCTGTTCTTCAACCAGGAGCAGTAGGTTAAAATTAGTAAAGCAGGAAAATTTGTTCATGCATGAAGTTTTGAGGGAAGAGGAAATTACACTGCTCCCATTGACTTAGGTGGGTCTGTTCGTGCCAGCTGGTGAAGCTTTTTTGTTTCTGAGCCCTAGAAACACTTGGCTGCTCCTAAACTTAGGATATACTAGACTAAATCCTATCACAGCCTTTTTTGTCCAAACTCTGCATAGAGAAGGCGCTTTGATGTCAGTTTTGAATTGAGACATTATTATTTTGTGCTAAGGTGAGATTTCAAATCCTCGTCCAGTGAGCACAGCATCCTGCAGAATACAGAACCATTAGGAAGAGCATGCCTAGCTTTTGCTGGAGCAATCCCCCCAAGCAGGTTCGGAGTTGGTAACTGCGGAGCTCCGCTGCGTCAGGAGTGCACAGACTCAGCTCCTCTGACATTTAATGGAAGAGGCAGTTAAGCTCTCACTTAATGCAATCAGGCTTTCTGTGTCCTGACCAAACTGGTGAGTAACTGGAAAAAAAAATCCAAGTACTTAAGTTCCTCTCTCTTCTGGGTTGTAAGTAATAGTTTTTGTACAGTAATGTTTTTAAGAGAGATTTTATCTATTAACTTCAGAAAAAAAGTATATTGCATACTTGCTATTCTTGAGAGTCTGTGAATGATACCCTGATTTATTTATTAATTTTACTTTTGTCTTATGTTGCCTTCAGGTATACATTTGCAATATATTGTAGCAGATAAGGCATTTAGCTCACAGCAGATGTCAGATAAAAAGCCCAGGGTGCCACAGGTTACTTTACATGCCCCTCTCTGCCCTGTGGAAGCTTGCAGGCATCTTAAAAGCCTGCACGGCTTCTGTGCAGGTGTGGGGGGTAACCACGAGATCCTGTGGATGCTTCTCTGCTGACTTACCATGAGCAGTGGGTTTGTGCAGCCCCTGTGGCACTGCAATAACTGACACGTGCCTTTTCTCAAAGCAGTTTTTCTCCTTTCTCTTCTGCAACGCAATAAGCTGCAACTGCGCTCCACAACATGTTAAGCTAATTCAGACCAGTGAGGTCTTCTTACTCCTAGTTTGCAACATGGTACATAGCGAATACATCTGATGGGACAGCTTGCTCTTGCAAAAGTCATACTTTCAAGTGGCTTAAATTTCCAGCTGTTCCTAAAGGCAAATAAATCCCAGATGCCAATTGCCTGTCACCACTTAAAGGTCTGGAAATTTCTCTGATAACCAAGTTTTGTCACAACACACTGTGTTTATATTGCAAATAAAACCTATTAATTTTATTTCTGGATGTCTGACTGAATTTATCAGCACATAAAGACAAGTTGCTCCAAACTGTGGTCCCTCAGTCTGAATGACAGCTTTATCCTCAGTCACACTAGCTCAGGGCAAGCTGGACTAACAGCTGCCCCTTTGCAAAGCCCCCAGGTAAGGTGAGACACCACAAAACAGAGTTTGCTCTTTCTGGCTTGCACAGCAACCTAACTTGAACAAACTAACCAAGATCTGTTAGGCAGAGGCCTAAGGGCAGTGCTAAGCTCCCAACCTTAGACCAGCTCACCTCACTGGCCTGGGCAGGCACTGCACCTCAGCACCACCATCGCTCCCATTTGCCCCATTAAAGGCTTCTCTGAACTCCGTGTCCCAAGAAGTGTGAGCACGCGTGAAGGAGAGCACCGCCTGGCACTGCTCTGGGAGAAGGCTGCAAAGAAAGGGACTCACTTTCACAGAAAAGCGAAAGGCTTTCGTTGTGGCGGGGCTGGTAAACCACAGGTGGAAAGCCCCGAGAGAGAACACATGTTGCTACTTGGTGGTTTGAATCCATCCTTCCTGTAGTCAAATTCACTAGATCTTTTCACTTGTGAGAACAGAAATTTCTCTCTTTTACCCCAAAACATTTTTTTTTTTGTCCCTATACCAATTTGAAATACATTAACAACTGTATTAGAAGCTTCTTTTCCAAGTTAGAAAGTTGATCCTTTTCACATTTGGGGAGGGAAGGGAGACCCTACACACAAAAATTCACATTACCAAGCAAGGCTGCGTTCCTTGACGCTGTCCCCTCTGCACCTGCCAGCCTAGGGAACTGAAGATATTAGCCATTAGCCTCTTCCTCACTCATCTTTCCAGAGATACTTAGATCCCAAAATGTTCACTTCTATCATCCAACACAGGGAAATGCTCCTAACACCTTAGGCATCACCAGTGCCACTAAATAAGCATTAGCAGCATATCAGGATCAATGCCCTACAATGCAAGTCCGTGCAAAGTACTTAGTATCTTATGTAAATCAAATACTAAGTATGTGGTTGGGAAAGAGTATAGTCTCCCACTTTAGCCTGGCTTGAGCAAGCTGTTGCTACGCAGGAATACACACTCTTGTATCAACAGAGGTTTATCCTGACCTTCCAGCTCATCCAAACTTCCTACTGGTTAGTAACAAAGTGCTACTTTGTTTTCCTGTGATTTGAAGAAAAGCCATTTGGGTCATTTTATAATCGGAGAAAAAGGACACTGAAGCCATCTGTCCAGCGTGGAGAAAGCCTATAGCTGACTCAGAGCTATAGCTCTGAGCTTGAGCTCACACCACCAGCAGAGCCACTCTCCTCTCTCCCTTTCCCTGGCTGGACTGGGAAGTCCACCTCTCGACACCATTCACCCACCTGGCGAAGTGCTAAGACTTCTTTCTTAATTTCTTCTGCCAGGAAATTTACACCATCACAGACAGTGTACATGTAACTTTTAAGGGACCAAGTTTGCAATCTCAAAACAAAGTCAAGGTTTGCTTGAGCAAACAAACTTTTCCATACCTTTATGCTGGGCTAGAGGAAACTGTTCTTCTTAACTCATCTCTTTACCAAACTTCTTCTTGCTATTTTATCTAACTTGCAGAATACATCACTACTTCAATTACAGAGACAAACAGTCAAGGGGTAAAAGTGTAAAGTGTCTGAACTATTCCCAAAGTGCTATAGGTTCCTTTATAGCACAAAGCAAATGCAAAGTAACTTCATCATCTTACTGGACAGACAGCTTTGATCAATTTGATAAAATGCCAATGGCATTAAAGCTCTGTGTCAGGAAAGTAGCAGAAGTTGGATCAGAAGCACAGTCCTTTAAAAGCACTCCTTTATCTATTTTTGTACTGGTATCTCTATAAATATTTGGCAACATGGACACCCAGACGGTTTGCTCCCTTACTTGTGAGACATTACTGAATTCTCTTACTGGGAACATGAGAAAAATCCAGCTCTGTGTTGGCTCCTGATCATCTGAGCCAGTCAATAAGACTGGCCTGAAAATGATATTCTTCTCCTGGGAAAATTATCGGCTAGCTGGATGGGAAGAATAGGCGTAGTTCAGGACACGAAAGGTACAGATTATAGCTACTGTACAGCAGAGACAACTCAAAGAAAGTAATGGGGCCTCTCACTCACATCAGCTCCAGCGCAGCGGGGCACGCCGGCTTGGTGCTGAAGAGCAAGTGCCTTCAAGCAGGAAAAAAGGAAGTAACAAGTAAGAAATTAAAAAAAAAAAAAAAAAAGAAGAGAAAGAAAAAAAGAAGAAATAAACCTCAAACCGACACAACTGTTAACTGTTCTGGGTTTGGAGGACTTTTTTCTTCTAATTTCTGCCCACCATGAGAGAGACAGCTGTTTGTTGAGGTGTTGCTCTTGGAAAGGTTTTATTAAGCTGAGACTAAGGGAGAAGAGGGAAAAGGAAAATGCTTTTTCTCTGTTACAGCCCAGTGATACTTTGCCAGTCCTCTGGAGAAGAAACTAAGTGTGGGAATATATTTCTATTTTATTTCTGTTTTATAGCAGCCCTTGAGGACAGCTCTCATTAAGCAGCATATGCTCTGGCTGGCTGGAATTATAAACCACAAAAACCTTATAACAAAAACCTTATAATTATAAACCACCAGGCATGTAGACAAGATAGGCAATGTTTTATGTTAGGGGTTTTGGCCATGCAGCAGCTGCTCACAGGCTGCCTACAACATGTATTAGCTTCACTTTTGATCAATTCCTCTTGCATCACAATATATCTGAATGGAAAAAGAAATACAAACAAATAAACAAAAAATACCAACCAGTTTCTCAGAAATGAAAAACTTGGCAAGGGGACCAGTTATATTCCACCCGTTTCTGTTGCTGTGTTTGCTGTGGCATTGGTGAGCCTCAGGCTTTGGGAAACAGTGGTAGATGTTGCATGTGTCAGACTTCTTCTCTGGTGGGAAGCAGCTTTTGCCTCAGAAGCAGCCTGCCTCCAGGCCATGTGCTTGCGAAAGCAGAGCATGGTGCTAGGGCTTGAGCACCCTCCAGGCACGTGGGATTCTGGGCACAGACACATGCCCCATCTGTATGCATTTTGGAAGCCGTGGAGGTTCCAGAGTGAGTAGGAGAAAAACAAGGCAAAGATTTTTATTTTATTTCAGTCTCTAGGCAATGCTGATCCTCTCACCAAGGAGACCACAGAGGTTACGCACTTATCTAGACCAAGAGGTTGCATGAAGCAGGAAACAAAGTCTGACCCCCACTCAAAAGGCCTGGCTTTACAGTCCAGCCCTCCTACATATTGCTCACTACATATATTACATAGCATAACATAATCTTATCTATTGCACATCCCTTTCTTAACAGCGAGGGTGACAGAGCTCTGGCACAGGCTGCCCAGGGAGGTTGTGGAGTCTCCTTCTTCGGAGATTTTCAAAACCCACCTGGATGCCCTGTGCCCCATGCTCTGGGTGATCCTGCGTGTGCAGTGGGGTTGGACTAGATGATCTCTGAGGTCCCTTCCAACCTTAAGCATTCTGTGGTTCTATGATCCAGATCCCATGATGGAAGAGAGCCCTTGGTTTGTAGGCAAATAACAGTATAACATCCCCACTGCCTGGGAATCCCACGCAAGCCCTTGGTGTTGGTGCACAGAGGTCCGTGCAATGGAGCAGGCTATGCAATGCCCATCAGGTCTTGCAGAGGGAGCAGGGCGAACAAGCACAGCCCAGAGGAGACACCCTGCAGGCCTCTACTCGCCTGAACGGCACAAGGGCCTTTGGCTGTTCCTGAGCACAAGCAGGATCCAGCTGCCAGCCCTTCATTCAGAATTTGTGCTTCCCAGGGGAGGAAAGCTCTGCGGTCTGACCACGCACAGACGGGTGCACGCGTGTGCACGGGGGCCATGTTGAGGCTCGTGTTGCTGCTCAGTTACCAAGGCAACACACAGCTCCCTCCGCCCTCTTGAGACTCTTCTCCGGGAGGCTGACAGAATGCCAGAAACTTTGGTAGGGACAGTTTTACTGGAGTTTGCCTAAACTTCCAGGGCAATAGAGGTTGTGCTTACTCTGGCAGAGTCAACTAAAACTGATTGTTTCTAGGTGAAGGTCAGGGAGGGTTCTGGAGAATTATGACGTTATCTTTCCCCTATCCCAAATGCTTCCTTTGTTCTCCAAACAAGTCACGGCCAGAGACGGGCTTTTGGATCTAGCTTTTGGATCTTCTGGATTTAGCAGCTGTTGCCTAAAATGAATCGTTTTCCCATTAGTCTGATTTCTGGTAGGTCAAAACTAGAGGACGTGCTCCTGCAAAATGGGGACTTTGACACTAATATTTACAGAGTATTGTGCCGCCCCAGTAATAACAAGAGGGAGAGAGAAAAAAAAAACACAAACACTGGTTACTAATAAAGAGCATGAGTTGCCAGAGCTGCGCTTGCTCCTCAGAAATGCTATATTCCACAAAGCCCAAATTTCATCAGGACCAGAAAGCAGAGTCCCTTTGCCCTTGGGGCTGGAGTGGCTCCGTTGCAGGAGTCGCTTGTGCCCTGGCTCTATCGTGATGGCAGCAGCCACACCATGTATGGACCCACGTCTGGACACTTGGTCTCAGTACGTACTGACAGTTCAGTCAACCCCAGAAGGCTTCTCCCATATAGTGAGAGCATGAAACAAGCTGTCAAAGGGATCAAAAGAAGAGAGGTTTGTGTA